AGGATATTGATTGCTTCAGTGCGGTAACCACAAACAAACAGGAACACCACGCGGCTAAAAAAGAAGTCAGTGGCTATCTAGTTTCGACATGGAGGTGTACTACTCACAAGAAGTCCCACCATGAGAGCTGACTTAGGAGGAACAGTTCGAAGGGGCGTCCTGTGATCTTGACTTGTCGATAGTCCAGACCAGATATTTGGAGTGGCTCAGCAAGGGCTTCATTGGACTTAACGAGAGCAGGAATACTGGACTGCTCCTTTCGTCTTTTTGCTTGATTCAGGTGCTCGGTTCTTGATGGTTGTTAGCAAAGCATTCTTTTGGGGGACTTTTCAGTCTCACTTGGTCCTCAGATCTATGACCGTCTTGACACCCAGTTCATCTCTGATGAGCTGTCTGTCCGAAAGAGTGGTATCATCTAGAGCTGTCTTAGCAGTGGTCAGGTACATCTATGTGTGATGTTGTCTCATACCTGGCCTGGCAGAGCGGTAGAACAAACCCTCACGAATTCGCCTAATGAGAATTAGTTAACAATCTCTCCTGTACGTAAAAAGTAGTGATACCTTGTGCCCAAAAAGTCATTGACCGTTTTGCCAACATCACGAAAGTTGAGAACGTTCTCAAGGCCAACAGAGGAAGTCATAATGGTTTGCCAAGAAACTTGCTGCGTCGGAATAAAGTTAGCAAGTCTAATCAAGGGTCCTCAAGCCACCGATAGTATTGCAGCTGGGCTGTGTACTGTACGGTAGTTGCAGCGCATTGACGATGAACTAACAAGCGGACAAGAAGCGATCCGGAACAATATCAAGTTGGTGGGCAACACAGACTTGAAACCAGGGTTGTTAGTATTACGAGAAATCGATCAATCGAGCCAAATGCGCCTCAAGAGATCGGAGGGTTCAAAGCGGACGCTAAGAAGAGGGTTAAAACACACCAAAAAGAAGACGAGCAGCGTCGATCTCAATTTCAATACCGAAAACGCCGAGTGATCATTCGGGAGCTAAGACAGGACAAGATGCACCGTTGATTCTCAGGTGAAGATACAGATTCCGTCCAAGGTTTCAGTTACAGACTTTGTTTCTCTTCCAGTAACTTGAGGTAAAGATCTGTCTGTTGCCTGGTCGAGACTCAACCATGTGGCTTCGTATTTATTCGTTCGCAGCTCGATCTTAGCTTGATGGGTTGGGCAAAAGATCCCATCTAATGCCAATTGGGAGATATCTTCAATGGATGACGGGAAGCTAAAAAATTGCTAAGCTGATAGAAGTACAGTGCGAATTGATAGCGGTGTGGTGTGGTGTGGCAGTGTTACAATCGCTACGTAGTGGAGAGACAAGACGAAGCTGAACTTAAGGTAGCTGAAGATGAGCCTTTCGCTATTTGATAACAGTGATAAGACAGGGGATGCTCAGAGACAGCTGTATTTGGTAACTCTCCACTGTACGTGACGGAGTTGCCCATACCGAAGAACCAACAATCAAAGCTGAATATCATGAGACAATCTGAATACTGTGCTCCTTCCGACTAACACTAGCCACTAGCGTCTGCACCTGAGATCATCGCCAAGGACTAAGTGACGTCACAACTAGCACTATCTGGGGTAGCGTATCGCAGGTCCGGGAAAGGAAAGAGCTACGGCAACGACCCTGACGTATGTATCCCATGTGTAGGAGAGAGGTAAGGAAGGAAAGCACCGCACCGTCCGTCTTGTCTCGGGGCCAACGAACGAACGACGCCATTTGAGTGAGGGCGCCACGAAGACGAGGGTCTCCTTTGATAGCATCATCATCATCGTCTTAGTGAATAAATCTTGCTTTCACCCATATTTTACTCTATTCTTTCCCTTCTGTTTCTTCACGATTGAGAGACAACACCAAATACACGGCTAATACCTACGCGAATCCTATCTCCATACAGTGTCGTCACTCAGCATTTATCCTATCTGTTTCAATATTCCCTGCAAAGAGACAATTCATTCGTCTCCACCATTGAAGTAATTCCACCTCAAGACGAGCATCCGGCATACCCATGTTCGACATAGAAACAGTCTATTAATATTAACTACATACGACATTACAACCGCCAAGAGCCTTGGAAATCAATACAAACATATTGTCACAAGGACCTGGCCCTGTCGAGAGCTTATCACCACGCCCGGCGCATCGCGACTAATCTATTTCTTCGCATCGTATTCCATTGAAGTCTCACCCATCCGAGGCTCCAATACGAAGGGCTGAGCCAGCACCCTTCTGACGTCCCTTATACCGATGCCCACCAGCGCATCCCAGCAGCCAACCATGATCCAGTCACAGCCGGCAGCGGCTCCAGGTATGTACCGGCATCCTAGCATATTCGTCATCCGCCCGCGCATGGCCCAGGTCTTTTCTGACAATACATAGTGGTCAACAACTCGGGTCGTCTCAAATACGCAGATCCTCGAGATCTCCCTAGCTATCCTTCCGCCGGTCTTCGTCCTGACGGTGCTGCTGCAAGTGCCGCTGCTTCACTTGGATGGTCTAATCAAAAACCTATCGAACTCTGGAAACCTGACAAAACCTCATCCGCATCCGCTGCTGCCGCTCTAGCCAAAGATTATAAGATGGCTCCAGCATGGGAACCAACATCCAACTCTGCTGGCCACAAAGCCGCACTTCTAGCTGTTGGCTCTGCTAATGCTGCATTAAACCAATCCCCAAGCCAGCGCAAGTCACACGAAGGATGGGGAAATTCTGCTGCTACTCAAGCATTCAACACGAATCGAGCCAACTCAATGCGACGGCTCGACCCAAGAGCATCTGATACTTCACTGCAAGGACAAAAGTCTCTGGCCGCAGCCAAAGGTGCCATGTCAACTACTAGACGGCGAGCTAAATCTACGCCATCAGCACCAGACACTCGTGCTCCATCATCCCCTCAGACTAATACACGACCCGATGCGCTCAGCGGAGCCGCTCTTGCTCACAAAGCAAGCCTGAGGGCCAAGCCAACAACAGAAAACGCTGGTGCGGTGCCAGTCACTACCATGACTCGCAACATGTTTACGTCTAATCCGCCAGTCAAACCGGAGGTGGATGAACGACAAAACAATGAGCAACTCCATGCATCAGCGGTTGCGATGGCCCGGAAAATGTATTCACATCAGCAAAAGATTATCGATGAAGCCAAGGAAACCCACGGGCAAGGTTCTGATGCGCCCCAGCCAAAACCATACATTAATCTCCAGGACGCTGCGTACAAACAAGCACAAGAACGACTGGCGAAGCTTGAACAGGAACATCAAAAGAACAGAGACTACCAATCTTACTATGGAAATGAGTCGTCACCTAGACGGCGGTTTACGCTGACGTCCAAGCTGCGTCGTCGCTCTTCCAGCGACGGTGACCTCGACGATAGACAACAATCCGAAAGAATTCGGCAGCAGATGTCGCTTTTCTCTAACAAGCTTTCAGAAGTCGATCAGAAGAAGCGACAGGATGATCGCAACGCACTTCTTGCTGCGGCACAACGCAATGTGAAGGCCCGACTGCAAGGTATGGATGAAAAGGTCTATCACGAAACTGGCCAGGTCAACCCAACTCTGATGAGTGAGTGGGAGCTTAAGGCTCATCAGTTGGCGAGTGCTAGTCACGAAACCCGGAATGCAAACAAGGGCAAAATCGACATTGGAGGTGGCAGGTTCATGGATCCTCACGATATAGACGCCATCGCAGTCAAAAGAATGCAGCCCCTTTTGGATGACATTAACGAGAAGGCTGAAGTTGAGCGCGAGCGACTTGCTACACTCAAGATGGAAGAGGAAGCAAGAAAAGCTGAGCAGGAGAAGCAAAAGGCGCGCGACCGCGAAATTAAAGACATCACAAAGAAGCTCAAGGGTATGTCCACAGCAAAAATACTCATTTGCACTGAGCCTGACTAATTTCTTTCATAGACCAAGAGAAGCAGGAGTACAAGGCCAAGAAGGCTGAGGAGAAGGCAGCACGAGCCGAAGAGCGACGCCAGGCCAAGGAGGAGAAGCAACGGTCTAGGGGTAACACAGCTGTCTCTGGCGAAGAAGCTGTTGATGATGGTGCGAGCACAAGAAGCGAAGAGGCTGTCTCACCTCCTATTGTTGCGCCGAATGAGTCGAGTGCGCCTGGCGCCCCAGCAGCGATTGACACAGAAGCTGGCACAACTGAAAGGGGCCGAAGAAAGCTCAGCGATGCGGCATCACCAACTTCCAAGGTCAAGGGATGGATCAAGAACCGGTTTTCACGAGGCAAATCTCTTGGAGAAAAAGATCGTGAAAGCCAAGGTGACAAGAGAAGCAGTTTTATTGGCGGAGCCGCTCTCCGGGATACCGATGCAAATGAAAGTTCAACAAGCCTGGACAACCGGGCTACGAGCATGCGAGATGTCGCCCTTGCCGGTCGCAGCGCAAACGCTGAGCCAAGCGACCAAGAACGGGATGTGCTGCATGATTCGCGCGGCATCAGCCCTGTGAGCAGTCTAAGTGAAGACGAGGCTGTTCCCGCCATTACTCCTCCCCCAGCAATTAAAGACCCTGCTGAGAGGAAGAGTCAAAGTCCTTCACGGGACTCAAGATTCAGAGAGATGATGGACAACTAAGCCAGTTTTGTCATAAGACAGGAGTTTGGAAAGGTTCACAATTGGAGGCATAATGATGGGATGGGTTTGGAATACGTCTGGCGCATAGATTGGACTACCGTGTATCTATAAAGCGTCATTGGTTTTTCACAGCAGGATTATAGCAATTGGTGAAGTTGAAAGGGTTGTGTTACTATTGGTGTGGTTACTTGGTCTTTCTTGAGCTATGACGCATTACACGTACGGAACTGTCGGATGAACATCACGACTATGACATGTACAGACATTTTGATGAAACAAGGCAGGATAAAGGTTGGCAATGCAATGTACTTCACAAGAATTCAAAGATGACGGAGATTAAGGTTTAGAGTATTATGGTGGCATTGTTTAATTTATTTCTAATCAATATACACGAGGTAGTTCATCTTGAAGTTCATCTATCTGATAGTTCGTGTACAAGAGCATGATGTAAGCCATACAAGACAGTCCTGTAAACGAGCCAGTTCTCGCTCGATCCAAACGCCAGGCAAAGAAAGAAACGGGGAATCATTCCGACATTATTCCATAGAGCATAAAGTTTCATATGTAAAGGTTACAAACGTGAGTTTAATTTGTTGTGTTGTAATGGGTAAAGTATGTGATATATGCAGCCTGTCTAGAAGTCTCTGGGAGGCACACGGTTACCGCTCTGCGCCATCTCGACATCGGTACGGCCGTTTGCGGGTGCATCAAAATTATTGCGCGACCCGTTACTGGGACTTCTCGAATCAGAGAGAGCAGAAGGTATGTAATAAGACTTTTGGTACCTTGCGTCAGGGCTCTTTGTGCGAACGGCAGGGTAGAGGTCGATGACGAAGGAGACGGCGTAGAATGTGAAGATTAAGGATATGACCCATTCGAGGATCGCGGCGGCGTTTCGCTTCTTGACGCGGCTGCACACGCCAAAGGCGATGATGAGGAAGAGCTCGACGAGGATGAAGGTGAGCTTCACCCAGAAAGACCTGCGAAGGATACGATGCTCGCGGTAGTCTGAAGGTTTGGTCAATAGAGTTCATATGGCGGTTGAAAAGGTAAAGACTCACTGATTCCAAGGCGTTGATACTCCCAGCAGATAAAGACAGCAGAGATCAAATAGCCTCCAATAAAGAGCGCCAGAAACGTGTTGTGCAGTCTGCTATACTTGCCGGTCTTGAAGATAGAAAGACAGATGAGTCCCACGGTTCCAACAGTCGCAAAGGCGATAGAGAGACCGCTGAGGATCTTCTCCATGAGTGTAGTGTTGGGCACAAGACGACCCCGATGTCGCAGCCATCGCTCCGACAAGAATGCAGCGTCGAGAAAGATGGAAGTCAAGACACAGCCGACGATGAAGAGAGGTTGGAGACGATCGGCGCCGACATTGGAGATGTAGGCGATGTCGGAGTGAATCGATTGCGTGGGATATCGACGACCATGTTGATTAACTTGCCATTCGAGGAGAAGACCGAGAAGCATTCCAAGCCAGACGAGGCCTGAGATGACTGGGAACCACTGGAGATGTTAGCATGTTTCCTCTCAAATACTTGTGATAAACATACCCAGTAAGAAAAGATGCCTTTCACAGCCATTGTATAATTTTATATGGCGACTCTATGATGTGATGTGATGATGTTACTGTAAACTTGGTGTTTTGTAAAACTGGTGATACGGGCAACTCTTGAGAGTCGACCCAAATAAGGCAGTGACAGCACCTGACCTAAAACTTGCTTGGCAGGGACAAAGGAATGAAATAAACAGAATAGATACGAAAAGAGAGGAAAAGAAACAGGGGGAGGGTATTATATTCCCGTCTCTTGGTAATTATATTATGGGTCTGCGTTACGTATTGCAACTTCGGGGTTTTCGATCTTAATAATTCCAAGCTTTTTTTCTCTCTCGGCCGGGCCTAACGTGACAGGCCCTTTAACTCCAGTTTCTCGATGATCACCACTAAATACTCCACGGCCGAAGATCTTTCGGGTCCTCGGACGTGTCCGCGGTTCCTAAAGTCCGGGATATTTTACGGCATCCCATCTTTAAGGCGGTGCTCATCACATCAGCCTTGTTACAGCGGAAAAGAGCCAAGAATGGCTGTGGTTACTCTTTAATGACTTGGCATTGACGCGGCGTTACAGGGGGTTACGCGGCAGTCAATCGCACTTACAGTGGCGTAGAAGGGAAAAAGAATCACTAACTAATACGAAAGGGGTAATTATTCTTCAGCTGTTAGAGACAGAGAATCATAGAATGGAATTAATCGAATGACATCATCCCATTTGTTTACATGATTACATCACAATCTTCGCTTACAAAGTTAGTCTGTCACTGCCCAAAACAAGCCTCAGCCAACGACGTTGTTCAGTGGAGACACTAAGGAATTAAGGGGGGGGGGGGGGGGGCTCACTGTAAGGTAACTAAGCTAATCCTTGCATGAATCATGAGCTGAAGCAGGGCTCTTACATTGTAACCTTGGACCTTACTCGAGCAACCAATCACCCTCAACGAGTAACATTCACTACAACTCAACAGCCAAAGCAACTTCAACACAAATTTCAGTTTTATTTATAATCAAATCAACTCTTCATTCTCCCGCAGATGTTCTGTTCTTCTGTTCTCTAACTTTGCCTGCGGCAGCATCGCCACTTTCGTGTACGTCTGTTGAAGCGCCATCTTCCACAGCATTTTCTCCTCCCGCGGCGTTCGAGCTTGTCATATGTTTCATAGTTACTAAACTGAATATCAGTGATCGTTCTTGTCAGAAGAGATAGGATCCCTGTCGTTGAAACGAACCTCATCGTGATGATGGTGGGGATCCTCGTGCTCATGGTCATACTTATGCTCATGGTCCGGATCTTTATCCTCATGCTTGTGCTCGTAGTGATGCTCATCCTCGTGCTTGTGGCCATGCTTATGTCCATGGTAGTGACCATGTCTGTGGAGGTGGCCATGTCCGTGGCCGTGCTTGTGGCCATGCTTGTGCCCGTGGTGATGGTTGTGGTAGTGCTTGTGCACCTTCTTGCGCTTGTGCTCTCCATCACCCTCGGAATCCTCCTTCCCGTGGGTCTTATCCAGCGAGGCCCCGTCCTTGAAGTTCTCGCCTGTGATCAAAGGAGTGTAGGGGAACTTTTCAAAGGCCGCCTGGACACTGCCTTTGGTAGAGCCATCGTTGGCACCCTGCTTGGACATGATGATCTTGAGGCTCTTCTTGCACTCAACGCGGCGACCGATCTCATAAGTCAAGGCCTAGCCAAGGTCAGTATGTCTCATTTTCTCTCATCTCAAGGGCAACTCACATAGTTGGAAACACGAAGACTGTTGATGGCAGTGAGGACAGGTCGTTCAACCTCACCATCCAGAGGCTTGCTCTGGTGCTTCAAGAGCTTGAGGAGGCGGATCAGAGCATCGGCATACTAGAGCAGTGTCAGCACAGTAACCCCTGAAGAAGAACCCTTTGGTGGAACTTACATGAAGGTAGCAGCCAACGACAGGAGAGTCGTTTCCACAGCTGAAGCACTTCTTAAGAGTGGTGCTGTCAATGTACTTGTCAAAGGCATCCAGCCCGTGCTCAAGGAGGTAGATCCGGCGAACAATTTTCTTTCATCCCGTGTTAGTCATGCCAGGGTTATGGGTTCAACAGAGTAACTCACATGCCAACAGTGCGCATCATTGCCGCAGTCATAGGTCTGGACAGCATGAATAAGCTCCTCGACGTCCTTGGTGGCATAGTGGAAAAGCTTGCAAGTCTTATGCTCAGTGAGGACAGCGCAAGGCTTGATGGGATGCTTGTGCTTGGTAATGTGGACATGCTCATGGGGATGGAGATGCTTGTGCTTATGCCTGTGGTCCTTGTGATGGTGCTTGACCAAGTCAGGATCATGGTGATCATGGTCCTTGTGGTCATGATGCTTAATCTCGAAGGGATCGTCTGGGATAGCAAGGCCCACGGCGGCTGGGACTGCGCAGAACGCAATGAAGGGCAGAGAGAGCCTCATGTTGGGGTCTCTGCAACAGATTTACAAAGAGTGGAAATAGTGTTAAGGGGATGCAACGAAAGTGAAGAACGACACCGAGAAAGACAGAACAGATCAAGGATCAGAACAGTCTTAAATAACCATCATAGCTCGTGTTTGTCGTATCATGTCAGAGAGTCTGGCGAGTTCAAAGAATCATCGACCTATGTTTCCCAAGCCACGATGGTGAACTCTTTAGCCATCGGATGCACAAGCATACTGACAACCGATGAGTAGCTCGATGATACATACAAGCAATGACAGGTTAAATATCTCATACCATCAGGTCAATATTACCACCATCCTACGGTTCTCAAAGCCTCATACTCATCACTATCAGACATTTTGGAAGGATGCCTTAAATCTCTGGCCCTCGAAAGATCCCCCTCACGAGGCGTCCGAATAGGCGTGATCGTGGATTGTCAAAGGGTTGCCAAAACCGCCGAGATACAACTCCGTTACTGTAGCACCGTCGCGTCTTTTACACTCAAAGGCACCATGATTTCCTTGTCTTCACCATGGCGAGCAACTTTGCTCCAGTAGAAGGCACTTGACACAACTATTATGCTTTCAAGGAGGCCACAAGGTGAGAATAGTACCGCCGGTTGCTGTGTGCATCACTCAAAGTCAATCGACGCGGTTAAAAGTCTGACGATTCGCGTTTCCTTCGTGTTCTTAACACAGGAGATGATAATAAGCAGAAGGTGATGTTTGTTCTTGGATGTCTAAGTCGAAGGATGGAGTACGTACCTCAGATCTTCAGAAGCACGGGCAGTGGAGGTTATCGGTATGATCAACTCCGATATTCCGATCTCGAATTAGCGATAACGATAAGCTCTTCAAGCTTCCTAAAGTCTCAACGGGCTACTCAGCTTCATTCAACTTCACTAAACTTCAACGCTCGAGTCAAACTTTGGGCATATTAACGTTCCAGTCACTCATTAATAGGCATATAGCCTCTATAGGCCTCGTGCACACAGCGAGGCCTTCCAACACCATACAGCTGGCCGTTCCAGCTCCTCGACCACTATCCACAATCCTCTTTGTTCACCATCAACATCAAACATGGCGCTCTCACCAGTCGTAACACATACCGTTGAAGCAGCGCAACCGCAAAGCCTCGGACGCGCAATCTCTTCACCTCTAAAGAACGTCACATCGCAAACATCTTCCTCTAATGGCACGCCTATGCCTCCTGTCACTTCAGCGCCTGCGCCGACGAGTATTCCTACGACACTCGATCTTGCGGAGCAGATGAACGATGAGGAGAAGCGCAAATACGTCAAGGGTATGGTTACAGCATTAGACATCTGAAGTGTTGCTCTAACAATGTCTAGGCAAGAAGCTCGGTGAAGGTACATACGCCGTTGTCTTCCTAGGTCATTTGCGCTCAAGGCCCACCACTCTCGTCGCTATCAAGAAGATCAAGGTCCAGAAAGAATACGACGAGGGCATGGCCCCCGACGCCGTCCGCGAATTGAAGCACCTCCAGGAGCTCTCCCACCCAAACATCATCTCTCTCCTTTCCGTATTCTCCTCCAAAGATCAGAACCTCAACCTCGTCCTTGAGTACCTTCCCCGTGGCGATCTAGAAATGCTTATTCGCGATACCGAGTCCGTACGCTACGGTGCCGCAGATATCAAGACGTGGATGGGCATGCTCACCCGCGCCGTTTGGTTCTGCCACGAAAACTTTGTCCTCCATCGTGATATCAAGCCAAACAACTTGTTGATCGCTGAGGACGGCGAAGTCAAGCTTGCTGATTTTGGTCTTGCGCGAAGCTTCGCTGATCCTCATCAACTCATGTCCTCGCGCGTCATCACCCGCTGGTACCGACCTCCTGAGCTGCTCTTCGACGCAAAGCATTACAGCGGTGCTGTTGATGTCTGGTCTGTTGGAACTGTGTTCGCTGAGCTCATTATGCGTGCGCCCTATCTTCCCGGTAATACAGACCTTGACCAAGTTCGGCTTGTCTGCGAACTTGTCGGTACTCCCACCGACGACAACTGGCCTGGTGTCACGAAGCTTCCCGGTTATGCTGTCCCTGGACAACACCCGGTTCGTGGAAAGGACTGGTATGAAATGCGCTTCGGTACTGTTGGGTCTGACGGTGTGGACCTACTAATGAAGACACTCATTCTTGACCCCAAGAAGCGCATCACTTCCCGTGGTATGCTTGAGCATCCTTGGTGGCACTCTGAACCCAAGCCTACTCGCAAGCAAGATCTGCCTCGAAAGGGTGGCGCAGGGGCTGATGACAAGATGGGCGCTGATCTAAAGCGACGGCCAGGCGTGATTGACGATGACAGGGGCTCAAAGGTTGCACGCAAACTTGATTTTGGCGGCATGAAATAGACATGGGGAGACGGGGCGTAGAGAGAAATTTTAATGAACATATGACATATAATTCAGGTGAGCATTCTTTGGCGTTTAGATATATACAGAATAACGAGAGGAATACGCAACAAGTCGTAAAGGACCTGGCTTGCTCAAAATGGAACATTTTGTAAGATACTCAGATCCCTTTCATCCTCATAACTTTGAAACCACCCATATGTGTCTCCTAACCAAACGCTCGCTCTCAGCATATCTTCGTAATATTGACGTTTCGATTTCGTAAGTATATCCAAACAACCAAATTCTATTCTATTTACTCACATCAGCACACACTCAAGCCCATACATTGCTCTCTCGACACTTTTTCTGACTTGATACCAGTCCGCCCTTCTCTGCGCATACTCGTAGACTTCTTCAGCACGGAAAATGCCACCAAAGCGATCGCCATCTGCGATGACTGTGGCCATCTCACGCGCATGTCGGGGGTCAATAAGGAAGATTTGGCTTAGCTCACGAAGAGCAGCAAAGTAGGCGAGCAGATCAGGGTTGCGCAGCGTGCGGATGTACTCATAATAGATGTTCATATCAGCAATGAGAGTAATCGCGCCCTCGGTACTGATACGTTGTCGTTTGAGGTGTTTGCAGATAGCTGTGAAGAGACGAAGGCCAACCTCGCCATTGAATACATCGAGCATCGACTTATCTGTTGTACCAACAAGCATTTTTGTGTGCGATGAGACGAGTTCAACGATACGCTTCGCTGTGGCTGTTGGGCCAATATCAGGCTCTGCAGCGGGCACAACAGGCTTCTCGACGGTGTTAGAGCTGCCGCCAAACCCAGACCCGAAGGCAGAGGACGATGTAGCCGCTGAGGGATCAATTGGGTTGTAGTCTGTGGGTGGTTGAGTTGTTCCCTGGAGATACTCAACCTCGTCCATCAGGACATCGATACCCTTGTTCAGGCCGGCCGCAACACTCTCGTCAAGCATTTGTTCAAACTTCTTCTTGGCCAGGCCTGCTGGGTCCAAGAAATCGTTGCGGTCAGCAATTTTCGGGGTGGCAAGTTGCTGCTCATAGAAAACGTCAATCATCTGTGAGATAAGATCACCGACATTGACAAGCTCGATGAAAGTAACAAGAGGTGCCACGCCCGCTTTGTTATGATCGTTAACCTCTCGCGGGTTATAGTGTGAGAGGTGGTCGACAGCCATATCAAAGCCCGTCTTGACATGCTTCTGTCCCAAAATGCGCAGCAACACCACAAATATTGTCGCACACTGCTCTCGAGCTTCTCCACCAGCTTGTCCACCGAGACTAATGAAAACTGAAGCACGTCCCAGGCTGGTTTTGGCAGCGTGCACCAAGTTGAGCGCCACCTCAATGCTAAAAAGTGACTTAATACCCTCAAGCTTCGATGCCATGATTGCAGCCTTGGCTGCGAGCTCGTCCGTTGGAGCCTGAGCAGGCAACGGCGTCCTTTGACCATCGAGTGCCAAACTGGGCGTCTCAGGTCGCGAGGGCTGCGGTGTAAGTGTTCCAGAGCCATTTAGCTCCTTTGGCGCCGACGATGTAGGCTTCGATGATGCGGGCTTGTTTGTTGCAAAAGGGGACCCCATCGGAAAGCTGGGTAGCACAGTAACAGGCATCATAACGACCTTCTTGAAAGAGCTCAAAAAGTCCTTCTTGTCAGCCGAACGATTGATGTTTGACATATAGAACGACTCTAGGGTCGAGTCTTGCTCAGAAAGCTTCTTCTCCCAGCTTGCCACTTCTGTCTCAGCATGATTTGTGAAGAAGTCTAGCTCAGCTTGGAGGTATAAGTCGAGATGCGGCTCAAAGACACGCAGTGAAAGCTCCTTTGCCATCTCCTTGACGTCTCGCTTCGACCCTTCAGGGGGTGTAAGAGACTGGAAGAAAAGCATTGTCTGCTCAAAAACGCCGGACACGGCTTTCAAATAAGCTTCCATGCTACGTTCATGTGCCTCATCAAACAGTGGTGTGGAATACTCCATGATGATATCCTCCCTGACCTTTTCCACAAATATCCAGAATACATGTTCAGGATTAGGGAAGATGCGTTGCATCACTGAGGCCTGCTCATTGACTTTGGTAAGCAGCTTCTCGAAGAACAGCCGTGAAGGTTCGAGTATGATGCTTTCGTCCTGTGTCGCTTGGTTGAGACAGTCCATCGCGTTCACCACCAATAACTCATCATCGTTGAATATGGGGTGCTTATGCACGAAGAGATCTATTCCCCCCGTGGCGCCATCAAGTGTGTGTAGGACGTGTGCATAGCGATGCATTCGTCCGTCAACATCCCAGAATTCGTAGCCTTGCTCAAACTCTCGCAGAACAGCACTCTCGAATATCCCCATCATTGATGAGAGCTTCTCCTCTCGCTCCTGGCATCCAGTCGACCAATCGCTATGGGCGAACCTCTTAAGATTTGCGAGCATTTGCGCTTGTTTCTCCGGGTCGCGAAAGGCTTGGAAGACAATAGGGTCTGCATGAGACCTCGCCTTCACCAGGTCAAAGTAAAAAGGAGCCAGGGCGCCGTATATCTTTCCATACTCGTGCCTCGCGCCACCCCGAATACTCCGTGCTTTTTTGAAGACATCCAGATATGCTGCCGGATCTTCAGCGGGGTTTGTTGAAGCCCCCACCGCCATCGTCTCGAAACCATCACGAATATCTGCCACGGCGCGATTCTTGGCCTCCTCTAATGAGGCATCGAATAGCGTTGTTGTTGTAGGTTGCGTAGGGCCTGCAATCCCTTTTGCTTGTTTTGCAGCTACATTTGCACTTTCTCGCCTTCGTCGCACTGCCTCTTCGAATCGACGACGAGCCTCGACTTCATCCCAACAATCCATGCTCTTTAATCTTGAGACCCATCTTGTGTCATCGTATACCATATCTCGCATGCGGTGTGATGCGCGGGCAAAGCGCAGTTGATCGGCGACTGGCAAATAATCGAGAATCGTCACCAGAATCTCTGAAATGTCATGTTAGTCGTAGGCGCTCAGCATTGCGAACATGGTATCTTGCATACCCGCTGGAAGACTGGCTTTCGTGTCGAGCATCTCGGTCGCCTTCAGGGTGCTAAGGATGCTGCCACGGTTGGCAGCACCCGTTTTGGACCTATACATGATTGGAGAGGTATATCTATCGCGATTTCGGTCGTTTCTATATTATTTCGTGCTTGGAGATACCCTCTGGGTAGATTATATCCTCGTATTCGCTGTTCAACGATTGTCTCATCTGCGATGCCATGGGCCGTCCTTCAATCCGTTCATTTAGATGTTCTGGTCTAGCATGTGGCGGCAAGACTCTCCGTATGTAGTGACACCGACATTGGAAGATTACTCGAGCTTCGGGACTGTCGATTAGGTCTTATTTATCGTATTTTCGTGATTTTCGTAATGTTTATAACTCACGGCGAGTCAGTTGTAAGAATAAAAATAATTGTTGGGCTGGGTCATGTTATATCTTGAGAATGGAAGCTGGTGGTCGGACCGTGGTTAGCTCTAACAGGGGAAGTTGCAGTCCACACGCAGGTGCCCCGCATCAACGACGAAGTTGAAGTGGCATTTGAGCTTACCCTGTATCTCCAAAGTTTAGAATACCTATTTTTAAGGTATACTTCATGGGATATCTTCTCAACCCAAATAATTAATACTAGGCTTCTCATACTTCGTGCGTAAACTTAGTAAAAGCCTCTTTTTAATGTTGCCTCTAACAGTCTATGCATGAGAGTGATCGTTGAAATTCCCTTCTGAAACAATAGTTGATATAAATATGCCGCCTTTCCAATGCTATACATCCATCATGCCAACTCTAACCCAAATTTTTACCAGCAAAACTCCAAGAACACCTTTGAATGACATAGTCAAACACATTCCAGAAGGGAAGTAACTATACAAAAACTCAAGTCCGTAAGGATACCCCTACCAACTCCCATCGCATGCGAATGCCATCTATATCATGCTCCTATATGTTCACTCAAGGAATGTGAAGAGATGTGTATGCAACACATTCATAGCCCGAGTAGCATCTCGTGCACTTATCACGCAAGAGATGTTAATCTCACTGGCACCTGTTCAACTTTGTTAGTAAAATCATTATCCAAGATGAGGATCATACATACCCTGTGAGATCATCTCGAGGTTGACATTGTGTTCACCCAGAGTAGAAAACATGCGACCTGCAATACCGACCATGTTCTTCATCTCAGCACCCACCAGGCTCAGAATGGCCATGTCGTTGAGCACGCTCACATCACCACACTCGGCAAGCTCCTTGGTAGCCTTGCCAAAAGCTTCGACCTGCTGACTGCTCGAGTGGATAGCCATAGAGACGTGGACCTCGGACGTAGAGATGAGATCAACCGAGATGGAGTAAGTGTCCAAGATAGAAAAGACTCGAGCGAAAAACCCGTGCGAAATCGATCTCTTATTCGAATGCACATTGATAACGCTGATATGGTCTTTGATGGTGACGGCTGTAGGTCGCTTTGGCTTCTTGTGCTCTGCCTCAGGTTTGGGAGAGTCGCGTTTAAGTTGATGGCTGGCCGAGAGAATACGATCAGGAACGACAATGGTGCCATTGCCGCGAGGGTTCTTAACATTCTTGATACGAATAGGGATCGGCGGTTCAGCACGAATGACTTGGTCCATAGTGAGGTGGTGAATAACCTCTGAGCCATAAAACGTCAACTCGGCTGCTTCGGAGGGCGTGATGGATGAGAGAAGGCGTGCGGTGGGCACCTTGGAGGGATCGGCTGAGAAGATACCATCAACCTCCTTCCAGACCTGAAGTTCCTCAGCCTTGACGCCCACGGCGCAGAGGGCGGCACAAAGATCAGTGTAGCCCCGACCGATGTCACCGTCGATGAGACTGCCAGGAACGTTGCCAAAGAAACCAGTGACGACAGGAACGCGGCTCTCACAGGCGGCGATCTTGCGGGTGAAAGCCTCCGAGGCGGTGCGGTAGAACTTGTCGTCGAGTCTCTCGGTAGCATCATAGTGGAATGAGTCGCAAAGATCGACATATTCAGACTCAACGCCCTGATTAGTGTTAGTGTATGAACTCACATAAATATAAGTAAATAGCGTATCACTCACCTTATCCTGCAAAAGAGCCGCCATAAAGCGACAGCTCAATTTCTCACCGAAACTGATAACACGATCCTTTGCTCTTGAGTTGATCTCAAGGTTAAATCGCTTTGCAGCCACGATATACTCGACCAGCTCTTGACACTCATCCTTGATAGTCTGAATGAGTTTTCCACGTAGAGAAGGATCTTGAATATAGGCCTCAGCAGCAAAGACGTGATCGTTGCAGATATCGAGCATCAAACCGCGAGCCTGCTCAACCAATTCATTCTGCTGCTCTTCATCAACGCACATGGCGGCGCCGACACCTCTGAGCTTGCCATAGACGGCCAGTAGTCTGTTGTGCCATTAGTACTCAGATCATGCCAATTGACGTTACAGAGAGTCTCTATATATAGAGGCATGAGAGCATAGACATACCGACTGGTGGTTCCTTCAGCTTTCTTGCCCGTGCTTCTAGCAGAGCAAACGACGATGACTCTATTTTGAGACAAGCTGGCTCTATTGGCGGGGTCAGTTACAGTCAGACAAGCCATTTCTAAGTCATTTCTCTCTCTTCTTCCCTTCCCATATTCAAACTCTTCGGGGTAATATCATACCTGACAATATCTGTAGCAATCTGAACATCTTGGTTAGTAACGTGTATAAAAACCACAAAATAATGCCTCTCCGAAGCTCAACGGGGGAACAACAAACCTTGTCCGGAAACTTGCCCACGCTTGTGCCGCCGAATTTTTGAACGATCCAGCCGAGAGACGGCGAATTGCTATGCGAGAGACTTCCCATGTTTGCTTTTTCTTTGATGTTCAAAATCAAGTGTCAGAGATTCAAGTTTCCCAAAACGTGGATCCCCCGTTTTTTACTCTATTCCCCCAAAGTAAGGCTGATTCAGAGAAAGTTAATGGTGGTGGAGTTCCTTTTTTTTTCGGCTGAGTAACAACGAGGGAAAAAAAATTGAGCTCAGTTGAGGCACTAATAAAGTACCGACCGATCTTTTATTGAGGCACTGTACCCACGTACAAGCGCCGAATCAACTCCGGAATTCTTGAATTAGTACCCTCAAGGTCAAGGGATAAAAGATTTGAGATTTAATATGATATGATTTGTAGAATGCGATGGTGCAGTCGATGAATTGAATCAAAATGAAGTGCGAAGAGGCGTGAAGCCAAGATGGATGGATGAGAGATCGACAACGATAGTATGCAATTGACGTATTATCGAATACTGAAACCAGTACCAAATTGCAATGTCCTAAACAAAGATGAGAGTAGATTTGATGTTGACAGAGTGACAGACGGACGGTTTGAGGCTCTGAATGCGAATATCCAGTATTAAAGACTGGATATGAAATCAATTGTCCGGGAACGGAGCTCGAGTTTCAAGATGATTAAATGCGGCAAAGAATAACGCCAGCAGAATGGAGTCACGTATGTATACATGAAGTTTCAAGAGTCAAAAACCACAAATTACGACGAGAATATTATTTATATATGGCTCAGGGTGTAGCATCATACTCTTGGGCTCTAGAGTCAGTCTTTGAGAACAAGACCGAAGTTGCCTCCGAAATAACAGCTCATACAAGGGTGCTCCCTCTCTCATATTCACTGTATGGTATGACTCGACCTTGCTACAGGTTCCGTCTTCGGCTTTGTCCTTCATTAGACACGTTTAGGTTAAGCTCACTAAAGATTCATGACCCCCACTCCGCTAATGCTTAAACTCCACTCAAGCAAGCTACCCCGCCAGGGACGACTTATCACTCACTTACACAGTCATCAACAGTCATTGTACGTAGAGCTCAGAGTGACTTGTCATGTAGCAAAAGCACAACATGCACTTTATGCAAGGGTCTGATCTATAATTTGACGAATGGAATCGAGGATAACGCAGTCCAATCTTTCTCTTGGCCAATCAGAGCTTAAACGCAAGCTTCATAACTCTCATAGAAAACTTGCATAGGGTAATCAAAAGACTTTAATCCCGAGAAAGAATGGCACGTCATTTATGTATTCATAACAAATGTGTGCTCATTATTCTATAAACAGAAACCTCACCTACGAAGGAACAGGGGGATAATACGAAATGAGCCAAAAGCCTACGAACAGTATATTTGACGCTGTGGTAAAATCAACCCCTCCCAATGGTACTCATGGTGCGCCTTTGCCAAACCCTACACCATTTATACTCAAAAACTCCAGAACCAAACCTTTCAGCTAATGTGTACACAGAAACAACCCCAATCCTCTATCTCCCAGGCTTGTATTGCCGGGTTGGCCAAGCTCAGCGCCCTTCACTTCCCACTTCTGCCTCTAGGCCATCATCATGTCGTCGTTCCATCGTCCCATCATGTCTGGCAATTAGGAGACCCTCCTCTGGGAAACACTGACAACTGTATTAATTTAAATCACCCAAGGGTATAATCGATATCCCAATCCCGAAACGCCAATCCCTGTGTCAAGTCGACACATACACGGGCCTTTCGGCCTTACTTGAAACCTTTCAAAGCTCGTCAACAGCGAACTCTGCCCCTTCCAATAGGGCATGCTCCTGGTTGTCTGTGCCCGTGAAGCCAAACTTGTCCATGGGAAAGTCTTCCTCGGGCGTCCTAATACCGATTCCGCTATCGTCGTGGACATCGCCCCCACTCATACCCATCGAGTTCTGGTTAGGTTTGTTGGCGGGGGGAAAAGGGGCACGTTCCCCTTGGTTTTGCGATGAGTTGTTCAGGTTGAATTCGTCACTGCCGCTGCTGAATCGGGAGGTTTGTCGGCTTGTGTCTTTTGCTGCTTGGGGTGGCGTGGGCGTTGTTGACCATGTTGTCTGGCTCCTTTTTTGCTTCATGAACCCTCCCTCCTCCACCATAAAGCAGACCAGTTCATCTATCCATGTTTTGGTCACCCACCATGAACTGAAGCTCTTACCCTGGTTCATGGTGAGATCTCGCATCACAGCAGTTCCGATTCTCTCGACACACAGCATGATGTCGCTCGCTGAGGCGTAAGGAAACCTGGTTGGCAGACTGTTGAGGAATGTAACCCAGCGGTCCAGCTGATACGACTCGCCCTTTTCACCAGACGCTTCCGCGCCACCATCAGCATCACTATCCGCTGGTCGACCTTTGCGTGACAAAACATCTCCATATATAGTAAGGCATTCCACCTCCCAAGGCACGTCTGCGGGATCAACGAGATCTCGAATCTCGTTAAGCAGAAGATTCACAACATCGTCCATACCCCGAGTAGGAACACATTCGGCAATCTTTCGAGGCCGAATCGTCGTGATCCAGTCGATATACATCTGATTGCGCTGCTCACGGGACGACAGAAAATTAGCAGCAGCGTGAGCTGTCAAGTTGACTCTCAACGCGCGGTCGATAAGTCCAACAAAGAGTGCCGCAGGTCCTTCCTTAGCACGAATTACATGCTGTGGCTGGCCTTGGAAAGACTCTCGAATATGCATCACCAGCCTGTCCGAAATGGACCTAAAAATATCCAACACATACTTAGGAACAACCTGAAGTTTCAAACCAGATACAATGCTCATCATACGCTGGTAGAGGATGAAATCACACTCCTCAATCCAAGGAGCCAAGGCTGGGTTCCCAAATAGTTTTAACACAGGCATGGTGAGGGTCCCTTGAAAAGCACCATAAAGATGGAAGAAAGTCTTCTCTTTACAGAACCGGATACAATCGACTAGTGATGTGCAGTGAGCGCGATACAATGCGAATAGAGATTTGGCAGCGTCGGGGTCGGTGCCTTGAGGGAGGTAAGGCTCGAGGTTAGGAAGAATAAGAGGTTCCTCAGGGTCAACAGGGCCCTCGGATTCGGGACAAAAGCAGAGTTCGAGTTGAGTCTTTGTTGTGCTGGAGCTGAGGTGGGCAATATTCGCAATCTGAGGCTGGTTGTAGATGCTACGTGACTCGAAGCCCGACTTTTGCAATACTGGGACAGGGTTGGCCTCAGTGCTGCCAATCTGAGGGGACGGCAGGGCACCTTGGCTCAAACTGATAGTCGTTTGTGAAGGAAGAGTGCTAATTTTGTTAGCAGGCATATACGAATTATGGTCAGGGATAAAGCTAACTTGAAGCTTTGAGTGAAGGCCGGAGGTTCTGGGAGAGCGCGAGTTGGTTGCACTGAAGGTTCCCTAACCTCGGCCTGGTCCTCTTTGAGTGTGAAGTTCACATAATGATATTTGGACTCTCCACGAACACCGAGTCGTCGTGTCTTTAGGCCAGGAAACAACACCCTAACAAGCTTCCCGAAGCTAGCAGGATTAAGTACGGTGATTCTTTCGGTAGCGCATCTTGACGCGTAGTTGGCGTATACTCGTCCTCGGGGAACGGAACCCTTGCCCCTTTCACAAACCCCATGGATCCTATGGGACGATTAGCATGCCTGTTGCAAATATGGTAAACATTTCACGACATACCAGAGCATTGCAAACACCTGTCGCGTCCGCTCTGAGTTGGGACCTCGTTCATTTCCATGAAGCTCGCTCGCAACGTCAGGAAGGCTGCGATGCTCGTTGGCTTTGAATAGAGCTCTCATTTCAATCTCGTTGTTTGCACTTGATCTATTGGACGCAGGCTTTGGGGCTCCAATCATTCCCGCAAAGGAGTTCTCGTCATTATCGTCCCTTTCCATCATTTGGCTATCTCCCTCGGTGAAGCTGGCATGGCTGCTATACTGCTCAGCGGGTAACGGATGCCGTTGCATGGGGTGTTTTGGTTGTTGGTATTGCATCTGGTGGCCCATTGGTGCACTCATCGAAGCATCCATTGAGTACTCCTGGCTTGCTTGGAGCTGCTGAGCCATCATAATATCCTCTGCTGACATTTGAGGCGTGTTCATGTCCTTAACCTGGGCATGGTTATGGACATGTGCATTTGGGTGCACTTGACTATTTGGATGAACCTGTCCATGCTGGGCCGGTATCCATTGTCCGTTGTACATGTCTGAAGCGTCGGCAAAGCCAGGCTGCTCTAAGCTATTGAGTGAAGCTGTTGAAGCACGGGATAACGGTCGTCGTGTCGATCTAATGGCGGCGCGGGTGGTTGGACCTTGAGCTTGATTCTGGTCTGTAATGTCCACTGAATTAAATTTGTCAACAGACGGAGGCTTTATGGTTTTGCATGAATAAGATGAGGGGAGGTTATGCTTTAGCAGCGAAGTTAAAGCTTGTTATGTTGTGTTGTGTTTAGACTTTTTGAGTGTCGCGTCGGTAATGGAAGCATCAAGCAGGAGATGAGGTTGTTTGGGTATGGGGTTGTCGGGGAAGAAAAACAAGGGAGAAAGTAAACTTACTGTTATGCTCCATACTTAATTGAGGTACGAGACGAGACTGGGCTGGACTGGAGTGAACCGGCCGGGACTGACTGGGCTGGGACTTTGTGTTGATTTGGTTGACGGAAGAGAGGAATTTGTGGGCGGGCTAAACAACAAACATTGGCTGGGCTGGGGTGTTCGGATGCGCCGACGTCAATAACAATGAAACTCGAGGGTGGAAAAGGGACCTCAAAAGAGTCGCGAGAAAAGAAAAACGACCAGCAGAAGCTGAATAGAAAGAAACTCGTTTCAAAGATGCCGCGCAAGGAGCTACTCGGGTACAGTTTTGGCACGGCGCTGAGGGTAACAATTCGTCGTTCCTGGAGCTGTTGTTGTCCTTGTTTTGTCGTTGCGAGGTCAACGAGAAATGGATAGTCGGTGGTTCAGTTCAGTTAGGTAATCTTCTTCAGAGGCAGAGCGGGGACGATATCCACTTGTTCTATTGGCTTGTCTCACTCGACTCTCATTGGAAGGGGTTATCCTACTGGAGGCGCGAGTCCGGTAAATTAGCCGAAATTCCTGTTATGATGAGAAACGAGATTTGACTGGCTGCGAATCATTGCTTCTTTCACGATGCACTCGATCTGTGTTTTGAGGCTTGAAGCTGCTATGCCCTCCCCGGCCAAAGGTGCTCACCGCGAGAACTCGGATGCGTTCTCAGTTATGGAGGAAATCACGGTTGCCCTTAACAGCCCATGATCGTCCATTGCAACGTGAATGGTCGTCGATAGAGACTGGTTCAACCTGGATCCAAGTCCTTGGCAGAGATTCAGTTGTCCAGGAGAGATGTGAGATGTGAAGCACATGCTCTGCGTATAATATGTGCACGAGATCGAGATCACAGTCACAATCCACGGCAAGGGAAACAAACGAGACAGATAAATAAGCCTGGCCCTGGACAACCGTCGAGACATCTGCCTAACGAAACGACACAAGGACGGTGAATACCTTGGTGTTATTAAGAGTCCAGATACACTGTCTTTCTTCTATCACCAACTCTACAAGCTGGCAGCAGCCCACCCATACAAATATCACGATATTGTACTTTGCTTGCTCGCATCTGCCACAATCTGTGCCTTATTTAGCCTCAGAGCATAACAAAAAGTTATGTCCTGGGAACCGCTTGATAGACTCATATATATTGGGCCCATATCCACATGTTACCGCTACGGAACCCAATGCTGTGACTCTTATGCAAGTGTCCCTACCTACCGCTGTATGTAGCCTCCGAACCGTTGGTGTTTGCTCCTTGAATGATGTAATTCCTTTCATGTGCTGTCATTTTTGCTGTAGGTACATGTGATAGTGCGCGATGGCGCTAAGGAACAAAGTACACTGCGTCATAACTGTAATCATCGAATCTGACATACGTTAATGAATTGCTTTGTCTATCAGGAGATATGTATTTGTGACCAAAAATTGAAGATTAGTTAGTACACAATGCACAGTACTTATAATAACACAATCTGATACATTTTTCATACTAATGAGTGAATATCCATCACCTGCACAACATCACAAGCCTTAAACGTCTTGCTGATCAACTTAGCACTTCATCTCGCAAAAACCCCCGAATTTACAGGGTCACAAGCCACTGACACACAGTCACTCTCGGTCATTGTCACTGATTGACTCCGCGTCAATTTTCTTCCTGCTTCCAAGATTCGCTAGGCCCTGTTCCTCAGTGATTGCATATCTTCCCCCCCATCTCAGCTGCAGCTAGCGCCGTGATAAAAGCTGCCCTCTTCCAGCCCATTCAACTCCTCTTACGTATTGGACGCTAAGTTACCTATTTCAATACACCACACAACCAACCCCTCCAACGTCTTTTTTTCAACTCTCTCACAGCATCACAACTTCTTCGACAAAAACTACATATACACAAAATCAACTAAAACCAACAATGTCCGCCCAAGATAAGGCTCAACAATACCTTGGCCAGCTCGACCGTGAGGTACGCATGTCCCCTCACTCTGCAATTATAGCCGCCGCATTCTAGTCGAACACAAATTGCGCAACGTTACCTTGCAAAATGCTGACGGTGATGCCATTCGTATAGCTCTCCAAGTACCCCGCCCTCAACAACCTCGAGAAGCAGGCTGGTGTTCCCAAGGCCTATGCCGCCATCGGTGTCGGCGCTCTCTACTTCTTCCTCATTATCTTCAACCTCGGAGGCCAGCTTCTGACCAACTTGGCTGGTTTCGTCATTCCCGGCTACTACTCTCTCGGTGCTCTCTTCAGCCACAACAAGGAGGATGATACTCAGTGGTTGACTGTACGTGGCCTTTCCCCTACCATCGGAGCTGATTCCGGGCTTTGCCGAGGTTCCCTATGATCACAAGCGGTCGCTAACTACTTTTACAGTATTGGGTCGTCTTCTCTCTTTTCACCGTGATTGAAAGCTTCGTCCAGGTTGTCTACTGGTTCCCCTTCTACTTCGTCTTCAAGTTTATCTTCCTCCTCTGGCTCTCTCTCCCTGCCTTCCGGTAAGTTGCCATGCGGGTCTTGATGCCCCGCTATCTGGAGGATTCGCTTCAAGTACTGACAGAAACTGAATAGCGGTGCTGAGCTCATCTTCCGATCTTTCCTGGCCCCTACCCTCGGCCGATACTTCCAGCAGACCGGCTCGACTGCTTCTGGCCTCCGTGCCAAGGCTGACGGCCTCGACAAGACCGAGTAAACGGTCTGCGAGGTTCAGCTTGATCGCTAAGCTAACTCTTGCGATTTATCGCATGCCCCGGATCAAGCAATTTCGGTACTAGGGGAACAGGAAATGGTTATTTATAGGAACTACGCAGCTTCAAAACCACGCTACGCAAATTGGAGGGTATGAGAAGGAGGACCGGCCAGGATTAAGATTTATACAAGCTAGAGATGCTGTATTGGACCACTGGGAGTTGTTCGGGAAGATTCGTGTCGTGTGGATGACTTTGTGTGATGAATGAATGCACTAGAAATATCTTGCTTTGCTTTGAAAGATGCCCTCTTTGGAGCTTCATGAGAACACGTATTGCCGTTATACCGTTTTGCTTACCCCACATCTTTGGTTTTGCAATTGAATGCCTATGGTATCGGGGATTTCGTTCTATAAACATTTAACTGCAACTGTCGCGTGCTCAGTTGCTCAGCTGTCTTGGATGTTTTCACATATATCACTATGCCACTAATCGTCAACCTCTTACTGGTGGCCAAGCTCAAGCTTGCTTGCTTGGTCTACGATCTTATCCGATCTGGCCTGACTTGACCTACACTTGACGTAGTGGTAAGCAGTGGCCACAGAACCCTTTTTTTAGTGGCCCAAGCTTTGTACCCGTCTGTCCAGACCCAAAAAGACCCGATTGTTAGAGCTGAGTGTGCATGTGGCTGTGCTGTTCCCGAATTAACCTCTGACTGCGCCTCACTTCCCCTTGCGACCCTCCACTCTCCTTGGCGCATCAACAAGTTGGACGGCACATGCTTGCCAGCCGTAACGAGTAGCATCTTATCGTAGGCTGAACCACTCAATTTGTTTCGTATTTCCATCTTTTCACCACGACAACTAATACTCTCCGCGATTCGATCTTGAGAGAGCTCACGATGCTAACTCGCAGCCAATAACAACCACATGCGACGAAAACCCCACGTTCATTTGCAGATTGCGCGTCGATAAATCAACGTCGAACTCAACGAAAAGGCAAAAGCCCCTGGAGGGAAAGGCCACCATCATGATACCCAATTCGCCCATATCACGACCATCTACGTCGATAATTACATATCTATCAGTTCTGGTATTGAGCTTGATGCTCTGCGCTCCTGGATACACCGAAGCTACACTTTCATCGCCCAACCCCGTCTTCGACTTTGAAACACTTATCGAACGAAGCGATATATCGGACTTGATATACGAACCAGAATTTGCGGCATTTGATCGCAGTATTATTGGTCGTGCGCCACCAGACCAACCGCTATTAACAAACAATGGCCCCGATAGTAGATCGATAATCCCTGGAGCGACTGTTTGTTATATCGTGGATAAGAAGACGTTGTTTGGGAAGGACAAGAGGCATGATGATCATGAAACGAACGGGGAGACCGAGCACCAGAATTCTCGCCGAGCAGAGACAAAGACTGTCTATGTGTCTGCCAATACTTGTTCCAGGCCAACTCTGAAGACCAAAGACAAGAGCGGGAAACCGGAACTGGCACCACAACTCAATCTTTATACTTCAACAACAAACAAGATCAAGTGCCCAACGGCAGGCAACTACAACAAGTCAAATCCCGATACCGCCAGGATACCGTTCGACGAGGGCGCAGTCATGCTGACTATGAATGCTACCAATGACATATACATCAGCGTTGTGGCTCCGAATCTAACAAAGGCCGATGGAGAATATAAATACCAGATCGCCATTTCTTTCGATGAGTATTACCACAACTACGATGCCAAAAATGGCACTGCTCAACTGCTGTTGATGGACTTTGACTCAACATCAGCCCTCCTTTTCACTAGTGATTTGACCCAGGACTCGGACGAGACCCAGCAGATCATGAAGAGGCCGCCGCCTTATCAGATATTCATTGGCGATGACAAATTGAGATCCATCGATGGCCTGCGACATTCTGCTTGTGGTCTAGCGGACCACGCGGAAATTTGGGCCAACGATAAGAAGACAGGGCGACACAACGATCTCGTTACTACTGGCCTAACGACACGAGGACAAGGAGGATTGCCCAAGCAGCAATTCCTGGTTGCAGGGCTCAACCACAGTACTACCTACTCGGGAATACTCGTTAAGATGCCCGATAGTGACAGCAAGAGAGATACAAAGTCTGGGCGCACAATAGGTGGTGGAGGCATTGTCTACAATGCCACCACGTTTGAGACTTCATCCAGTAAGATCAATTGCGCTCTAAGTTGCTTGAATATTAGCTAATCCATCACCAGGCACAAACTGTAAGATGGTTACGAATCTGGACTTCTGCAACGAAACACAATATGCCGTTCCTGGCAACGACAAAAAATTCAATAATACAGCTCTGGCCAAGCATTATGATGATTATGCCAGAAAAATGTACGCCAATTTCGAAAAAGTCATGATGCAAGTGCCCTGCGAAGCACCCCCCGAGTCTCGCTACTCGCTAGCACGAGATTGTGATGAGTGCCGCGAGGCTTACAAGCGTTGGCTCTGCACCGTCACGATCCCTCGCTGCGAGGATGTTATGGGTGGCAGCAGATATAGCGTTGTTCGCGACGCTTTCCAAGCCTTTCCCAATGGAACTACGCTTCCTGATAATTTCCGCAAGGGTCTCAAAGCCGCAGCAAATAACTCCTCGCGCAACGCCTGGATCGACGAAACTGTCAAGCCCGGTCCGTACAAGGAGTTGCTACCGTGCGAGGATGTTTGCTACGAAGTTGTTCAAGCCTGCCCTGCTGCTATAGGCTTTACCTGTCCACAACCTGGATTCCCAAGTTTCAGTGTGAGCTACGGACGGCGGAATCCGGATATTTCGAGTATAACATGTAACTACCCCGGCGAGCCAAGGACGAGGGTTAGCGCAGGTGTTGTTGTTCGACCAAGCTCTTTTATACTGAGTGCTGCGTCATTGATGATCTGGTTGATACTATGAGGGATGTGTTTCTTGGGTATGTTGGGCGTTTTTTTAGAGGAACTTCGGCGGAGATGCATCTGAGATTAATTCCAGCGATAACCCGAATTTTGCGTTAAAGTTAGATGCTCATACGTTTATGTATGTGGTTATTTGGAATAACATGAGCGATTTGGTATCAGTATCCTACAAGAACAACTAAAGACAATGGGCTGGTTTGACCCCCCGTAACCTGATTTACATGCTCTAAGCCTTGTTTGCCTTTGTCGCAGCATCATAATCCTTGATAGTTGTCTCAAGCTTCTCAATCGTTGCTACTCGTAAACCCGTTAGCTCCCATATCTTCTCATAGTCTATCTTGTGACCAACCTTCTCGCTCCGCACGGATCTCATCTGTCTCAAGTTTCACCCAAGTCCAGTAAGCCAACTGGTACGTAAAGACAGCAATGAGAAGTGTCTTTGCGACGGGCCGTGTGAATGTGCGATAGAACTGAGACTGCAAGATTATCAACGGAAGCCTTACGAATACTTTTGCAACATACCACTGGGCTTGGTGCCTTATTTGAATATGTCCTTCTAGCAGCGCCTCTCGTATATAAGTTCCTAGGCGCAATCATAGGCCGTAGCCTCGTTAGAGTTGTCGAAATCATTGTGTTGATAGTTGATACTCGTTAGTTCACAAACGCAAAGCAGCATATCGATTAAGCTTCATGGGCACCAGCCACACGTGGCAGTGAAGTGGGGGCGGGGCCGGTGGGGGAAAGAGACGGTCTTCACTTTAGGCTCCCCTGTCACCTTCCCTTGTCTGTCTTTAAGGGGAAAGGAAAGGAACACATGTCCCCAAAATTGTTAGCAGCCCATTTAAACTTCCCTTCCCTCACGGGCCCTTGAAATCTGTCCCTTAATACGATCTTAGTACTTTAACGCGACGAGGACCGTTTACAATATTTGAGTTCATTCAACTCTCAATTCTTCTGTGTATTTCTTTCCAACCTTTATATTCAAACTCTCACAGCTAGACACAATGGTACGCCACAACCTCGACCCTCCTACACAATCCAGTGTCGATCTCATGATGGAGCTAACATGATACTCCCTTGGAGGCGCAAACTCCCCAGCAGCGACGACGCAACGAGGCCTTTGCCAAGGGCAATGAAGCCAGGATGGGCAAGTCGGAGGATCAGATTAAGAAGCGTGTCGAGAAGGTTCAGAAGTCACCTATCTCCCTGTTCTGGATCTGTATGTTACGTGAATCCCGTTGGTTCAAAGAGCTGCGCTTTACTAACAATTTGCCACTACAGCTATTCTCGGATTCGTCATCTTTGGCGGTCTCGTCTTCGAGGGTCTCTCCCGATTCTTCGGCTAACCTTACATCAATTGAACCTCTCTATACTATAACAACATAAACACAAGCAACAAGCAACACGAATACCCCGACCAGACCTCGCTCTCAGCGATGGTACTACAATTTTTCTTGATATCTGGGAGAGTAAGGGTCTGTGAACCATCTAGAATCTATGGACAAGCATGGGGCACCAGTCCGTCGTCCAAAGGAGCTGAAAGGGGGAAGGGCACATATAATTGTATTTCGCCACGGGAGAACCTGTATTGTATTCACAGGAACTTGACTTAAGGAGAATAGGCGCAATCTGGAACCAACATAAATCGACTTCTTCTCGAAGAACAAAACGAGGGTTTATTTCTTTGCTTTTTGTCTACCTGACGCCATGCCATGAACCGTGAATTAAAATAACAGCCCTTTCTTTATATGGGGAGAGCTTGTGCGAAGCCAGGAGCCTCAAATGCGAATGCCAACACGAAACATATACTATGCGTTGAACAACTATGCACCAAGACCACGACGCTTGCTGCCACCATCGTTCTTCATCTTCATACCAGCCTCGAACTGCTTCTGGATGTCGGCCTCGGCCTTGGTAGAGTTGGATGCGCCCTTGGTGTTGTGAGGGGTGGCGACACTGGCGCCAGCCTTCTTACCACCCAGAAGTCGTAGGAACTTGGCCTGTCGAGCAGAGCCTCCCTCGAGATCGTCGACCTGCCATTGTTCAGCCTGAGCTGCAGATTCGGGTTCCTTTTCCTTCTTGTCCTTGGTCTCAGCTCGCTTCCTCTTCTTCTCGGCCTTCTCGGCCTTCTTGGCTTTCTTGTCGGATGCCTTTGGCTCCTCGACCTCAGCCTCAGATTCGACAGCCTCTTCCTCTGCCTTCTCAGGCTCGACGAGTCTCACTTTCTTTCCCTTCTTGTTCTTCTTATCCTTCTTGGATTCCTTGGGCTCTTCCTCTGCCTCGGGAGAGATATCGGCGGCGGAAACATGGCTTCGCTCGGAAGTGGCATTGCTCAGTCGACGGTGCTTCATCACGACCTCGTCGGCTGGGATGTTTGTAGGAACTTCGGTTGGCTGCTTGGCCACGGGAGCACCTCCCTCATCTTCAGATGAGCTATCGGAACCAGAATCTGAAGTATCGGAATCAGAAGAGGTATCGTCGTCCTGCTCGGACTTGGACTCATTGGCGGTTTTCTGGTAAGGCCGGTTAGTATGTAAATAAACAATCATGGGATGGGTAAACTTGCCTCGGCATCAAGAAGTGCTTGATACTGGGCAGCAGCTTTCTTGGCCTCGGCCAACAACAAGTTTGCCTTTTCCTGAAGCTTTTCGGCGCGAGCCTTGAGTTTCTCCTTGCGCTTAGAAGCGTTGACGGTTTTCTTCGCCACGGTCTTTGACTTTCGGGGCTTGCCACCAACGACCTCCTTTGGCTCAGCACTGACGGCACCGGCAGCCTTGACGGCTCGCTTCTCTGCTTTGGCAGAACGCTTCTTCTTGCGCTGCTCAAGCTTTGTTGACTTGTCTTGCTTGCGTTTCAAGTTCTTGTCTGCATGTCGCAAACGTTAGATGAGCTCTGAAAATTACTATGAAGGGCTAAAGCTTGGAAGAAGAGCTAAGGAAAAGTAGCATTTGTCCATGACTTACCCTTCTTGGACTTCACCTCAGGGTTGAGAGAAACACCGCCAGTTGTGGACGACGACATGATGATGGTCTCAGAATGACGAAAAACAAAATAGGTACAGAGTTCGGATGGAAAGAACAATTAAAAGTTTCGGCAAGCTCGTTACCGTTTGCCAAAGATCAGTAAGAAAGTCAATCTCTTATTGTTCAAGGTTTAGTGATGAACGGCGCAAAGAAGAATCGACGATAGCTTCATGAAATGCCCAGCAGCACAGGGCAGAATCACCACTTTTTCTGCCGGGCGGTGAGAAAAGTTGACAGGGGACCAGGCGTTGAACTTTGGGTGTGGGGCAGGTACTCTTTGGGCACATGGAAGCAGGGGCATTGCGTTCCGTGCCTTCCACCAACCCAGGGTGGAGTGGGCAATTGCCTAAACAGGCAATCGCCGGTTTACACGCCAACAGTTCGTACTATGTAATTCGTTATGTTTCTCGCGACGAAGAGTCTGTATAAGTTAAAGCTATAGAGAATTACAACAATGGAATTCAACGAATAATCACCTAAAACGTTGTGTTTGCGAATATATTGCGACTTCAAGTAGAGGGCAGTAGAATTTTGGTCCTGGTGAAGGCATATGTATTACATTATCCTTCAATGTTTGACTCTATCACGACAAAGCTGTTATGTTATGACTTAACACACAGGCAGCTGATATATACTTTACCATTGGGATAAGCGGGAGTTTATGGTATCAAGAGAGTATTATTGATACTCTGTCTTAAGATCAACTGAGTACCTGTCTATAACTCTCATGTCGAATGTAACGACTGAGCGGAAACAGCCCTTCGCGTCACACATACGTATATTCCTCCTTCGCGCAATAAAATCCGAAATTACCCTTGACTGCAACAAGTTCATTGCATATTATAAGGCTTGAAAATATCCTAGTGAACGGTGGGTACATGAACTGATGACTTGCTTCCAGGCGCTACACACTGGAAGCATTCGATACTGCTTGACCTCGCGGGAGAGGCGAAGGTATATGATCCAAATCTCAAATAAATATCTTCGAGGTATACAAGAGACCGAGAATCTAGGTTTTAAGGTTATCGTGTAAACTGGTAATAAACACGGGGAGATCATGTGTATATCAGGCCACTGCTTGTGAAATGGTTAAGGTTGAAACAAGGCATACTTCAGCTGTCAGGGGTTACCCAATACCTGTGTTCGTATAGTGCTATATATATCCGAGGCCGCATTCTCGTATATATGACTTCAGTACATATGTATGCCATTAGGCCTTTGAATGCGGTATGAAGCAGCCAGCCATCGGTCGACACGGCTCATGCTACTCATATACGATTGTCAGCTTATTAAACCCTCAAAATTCATCATCGGGAAATTTCTCATTCAACAAATGGGATCAAATCTTGTCTTATTATGCAAAGTCATTCACCTTGCCGCCATCTTTAACGCCAACCAGTAACAGAGTAGAGGAGTGCCCCAGGTATGGTAAAACATGATCTATGAATAGAAAGAGAGATCTTCTTTCCTCTCGTAATTAGTCCTTCACCCCTTGCCTGACCGCTTTGAATCATGCCGTCCCAAGTCTCAGCCGCATCCAAGAATAGAAATCCAGCCCAAGAAGACCAACTCCATGTGAGCGAGCGGGGTACTGCCAAAACAAAAACTCCAGAAGAGGGTGTGTGTGATAAATTATACAATGACATTAATCGTGATACGTCCGTTCAATTCCTTCTATTCCCAAATACGAAAATCACTATAACGATGTTAGTCGAGATGGTCTAGAGAAACAGGGGGTCATCTTACCATAGCTTCTTCTCAGCTTATTGCCCAGCATTTGGGTCGTATAGATAATAATCATCGTAATACATCTCGTCTGCTCCACTGCTTTCACCGTAACTTGCTTGTGCCCATTGCGTGCCGTATGAGGGTGAAGCACTGTATGTCGCGGTAGCAAAGCTATCGTCTGCGCTGTGTGTTCCCCTTCTACTACTGCTGTGTCGACTTTCGGCCTCCTGACTACGACCAACAAAGTGGCCGATGTTCATGCTACCCCAGGGAAGCCCTGAAGGGTCTGAATAGGAGTTGAAGTCGTTGGCAGAGGGAATTCGATAGCTGTTGCCTGCATACTCCTGATTTCGAGAATCTCTCTCGGCTCTCTCCTTGTTTTCTCGAGCCTTTTCTCCTGAATAATTCGTTAGTTACAGAATTGTTTCATTGACTTCTGGTCACTTACGGAACTTGCGTTGAGCAATGCGGTTCTGAATTCTTCGTCTCTCTTCAGGATCTGTGATATCTGACCAGTCGACATCATCGACTGAACTGGACTTTGACTTTTTGGAAGAATGTGTCGAAGAGCTGCCCTTATGGGAGCTGTGAGAGCCATGTTTTGAGCTCCCGCCCATTTTGCTCTTCTCAGAAGAATGAGAATCTGATTTGGAAGAAGATCCCTTCTTCTTGTCTTTGTGACTTGAGGATTTCGAACTTGTTTTTCGTGTTGGTGCAAGTTTTGAAGGAGATTGAGAGCGTTTATCGCTTGATTTCTCCTTTTTCTCTGTTTCTTGGTCAGGGGAAGCACTTTGAATGCGAATTTCTGGAGTTCGTAATTCCGATGGCGACTGATTCGGCAAGGACATCTACTATCAGAGAGTCATCAAATTGGAGGTCTTGGAAAGATGGTATTGAGCTTGTTGACACAATATGGGGGAACCATCTAAGTTGTAGGACTTTTATGTTGAGACTGAGACGACAGAGTTGTAGTGTGCCAATGACAACTGAAACAAACTACACCCTTGTACTAGAAGTCTGAGATTGATAACTAGGCAGACAGAATAGGGATGTCTTGATGTCGGTTAGAGTTTAATTGTATTGGGATATGGCATGAATGAAACTCGAAAACGAGGGACGAAGCCACATACATGTAAGGCAACGACTTTTAAACCCTGGGCCATGATAGGTAGTACACTAGTACCTGAAGGACCCAGAAAGTGAGTTAACTAAGACCCATGCGACAGCGGGATGATTGAATCGGCCAGGACCGGGGGTATCTTGGACAGTGAGTGAGTGACTGTATCAAGATGGAGGGTAGAGATTCAACGGCGGAGCCGGGTAGGGCAGAATTGACGTATGGAGATTACGAGGAGGGCACGAGGCGGATGCGTCAGGAAGAGGGTTTTCGGGAAATTAAGCAATTGGAGGTGAGTCTTTACCATAGATGCATTCGAGCCAAAACTGAATCCTGATAGGCGTTGCTCGCCATTGGCTTCGAATGAGAAGGATTCGCATCAGCCATGATATCCATAAGTGACCCATGCCTGTAGTAGTGTATTTGCAGGGGGCGGAGAGAACAGGTAAAGAACTAAAACGGTACAGACTGGATAAAAATGCACGAAACAACCTTGTTCAGGTACACCACCAGATGCGTGGAATGGCGTGTAAGACGAGCCCAAGTTCAAGGGTGTGCGTCAACACAGCAGCCTCTTTTCAAGCGATATCAGATCCGAAATCATTCTTGTTCATGACTGAGGCCTCTCCAGGTCGCGTGGTGTATCAACATACGTATTCTCACAGATATTCAAGGGGGAAACTGTGCGTAAGGTACATGCAAGCTATCTTGGACCCATGACGGCGAAGGAGTCATACTCTGGAAACCTTGTAATCACTGACTTACAAACGTCCCCATGGGGCTAATCTCAAAGTAATACCTTAGGCTACTACACTACAGGTCGAGTACTGTACAGTAACACGTATGTGCCCACGTACAGTGACGACGTCACAGCTGAGATCGAAATACCTACTCTTTAAAGATATGGTTGAGTTTCGTGTAATTAAAGGAACCCAGACTACGTATGTACCTCTTGCACGCGTCTCCTCTGTAAGCACCCTGCAAACGTGCATTCGCAACAAGTCACGCTAATTTGCTGTCATGGTTCGAAACAGTGTAAGTTGGAAAAGCCAATGGACACTAAATATGTGAAAAGCCGCGTTGCTAAGCCACCCGACGCCCTGAACCTGAGAAGGGGAGCAAAAACGGGAATGCGAGATATACGACGGACGGGGAGTCGGGCATTGGGCCACGAGGTAATGAAAAGAGTGGGACGTGCTAAACGGGCCTTGTAGGGCAGATGTATTGTTGATCAAAATACTTATGTTTTCGCCCATAGAAATTGTACGTACAACATGCCTGTAATGTAATATTCAACGTCTTAAGTCAACTCTGTAGGAAGATATAGGAATTTTATCGGATTTTCTAGGGAAGACAAAAGGCTCATCACGGATAATCTAGTCACAAGATACACTCTGTGATTCCGACCCGACATCCCCGGATCTTGCATGCCGGATAATCATGGACAGGGATTCAGAAGAGTCATCGCCATTGCAACTACGGATATCTTAGCTGGAGCCAAATTTCATTGGGAACGGGCCCGAGAACTTGGACACGTTTAGCTGAGGTCATTTTACTGCACTGCACTGGACATACACCAAGTATCTCAGTGACACATACCACACCGTATGTTATGCTTGAGCGTTATGTATGTTTTAAGTTCCCTCCCATCTTAATTACCAGGATCTTTTTTCCAAAGAGGGCTGCCTTGCGTAGCAAAGTCGTTGCCTCAAGGCTTCCACATCATGGCCTGTCTAAGACGTACGTATGTCTATACATGGACATGAGGACACGTTTTGATATCATCACGATCAAGTTGAACAATCAGCCCTATCAGCACGCACTCGCACAACGTCCCTCAATGGGATTGTTGAGGGTCAATTCATGTATCGCCGAACCAAGCAGTCGGTGAGAATAGGGATAAGATGAGTAAAGTTATGCTACTCTTGTCTCGAGACCACAAAATAGTCATAACGAGATCAAGGTGGCTACGAGAAAACCTTCACGCTAGGTACATATATGCCTCTCAAAGGGCGCGCGTGATCTCTGAAGCCCAAGTTGATCTGCCGTCGCTAGGAAATTTCAGGAAGCTCAATTTCATGATTATCAATCACAAGCCTCAGCTCATCAGGGCTGCACTGTATCCACGATACCGGATGATCGACGCCATATGCTTGAAATACAACCTTAGCAAAAGCCAATTTTAGGCAGCCTCTGCAATGTTGCATCTCCCTGCGAATTTAATGTCCCAGAGGTGGTTACGAAACTGTTTTCATTCGTCATAATTAGCTCTTGGCTGTCCAGAGAGAATATGCCAAACAAAAGGTCCCTCGATCAAGCGGCGGTAGCTGAAACTCTAAGACCGCAAGTTGGGGGCCACCCCCGACGACTCATTTGCTGATCAATTAGGCGAATGCGAGATATTCGCCAATCTGCATGGTTGTTAGGTATCGTGAACTTCTTCATAGCAAGGACCGAGTCAAAGGGAAAAAAAAAAAAAAAAAAACAATGTGGAACGATCGAAAAGTTATGAGGGTGCTTCTCGGCGTATAAATGAATGAGACAAGGTTTCAGTCAACGTATAAGTCCCAATCGCAGGAACCTCACCCTATTCGAGGAATATCATATGAAAATAATGAGATCAAAGAAAAAATACAGGCATTGTTGCAAGTACAACCACCTCCACTTGTTAGTCATGCGCGGAGATGGCATTTTCTATTTCTGTTCTTTGTCACATCGTGAAAGTAGCTGCATATAAACCACCATCTTCAAATCAACCAACATGAAGCCAGTGCACTAGTCAGGGAACAATAAGGTGAAAACCCGCCATACAAATGTCGTTATGTCTTCAGCATTAGTCGGAAGTGAGGGTATCCGATATGCAGTGATAATTAACCCACCTCTCAATGCTTGTTATACAGCATTTGGAGGCATCAAGCACAAGACAGGGGTAAGGTACCCAGCTTCACTACCTCAAGAACGTTAGTCAATCGAAGCTGAAAGTAAAGAAATCACCATGATCTCCGCACAGCATGCTTCTTTTGTCAGGTGAATCACATTGTAGGCAGAGCAGGGAACCAGTTTTGTATCAACGGGCGTTACAGCGTCAACAACGCCATTCATAACATGTTCAAATATAGAATTAGGCACCTAAAAGGATTTAGTCATTGTAAATTATGTGCCATGTGAACGGCTTTGTGGTGTCAAGAGGGCACGGCACAGTTGCGTTAGTTTTGCATAGCCTACTGTTTTTTGGGAGTTTTCACAGTGAGACTTCCACGAAATAATGGCCCACAACAGAAATTCGAAAAAGATCTCAAGTGACGTTAAAATAAGCTCCAAATTTACCGAAAATAAGATCCGGGATTTAGACGAAGAACGGCTTCTCTTTCTGCCTGCCAAGAAGTGAACATACACCAGGCAGTAATGCGTTGGTTCTGATACCATGCCTTAGGATGATATCTCCCACAATCGCTGACATAATGGCCACCAAAAGCCTCTCCAAACTAATATGGCAAATCAATATACCAGATGGATACGAGACAGGCCTGATACGGTACTATGAAACCTTTTTCTTCACATCGAACGATACCCGAGAACAGCACTCGAGTGAAACATGCTTTTGCTCAGCCGTCCATAAACCCCAGTCATATCTGCTAAAACTACAGTTGTAAATGTACATGTTGTGTCTTTTGTCTTTTACACAACTATTACATATTGGCCAGCATCTCGGCCTCACGCTCAGCTCTTCGTTCTGCCGACCTCCTCTTGAATCGGGTCTCAGCCCTTCTGCGCTCACCACCGTCAATCTTGCGACCCTGGCGGTCCTCCCACATTCCTTCCGTGACCTTCACAATAGCTCCTGATGTTCCAGAGATGGGTTGCGCAAAAGGTCCGGCAATCGTCTGGTGACCCACGACTCGATATCCGTTTGGTCGGATTAGATGTGAACCAGTGTCCTCTTCACCAGTAGAATCCTTAGGAGCTTTTCGAGGAATCTTTTTATCAGGCGTAAAGTCGTGAGGAACGTTGACAACCCATTTCGTATCGCTGAGGGCCGAAGGAGGCGGTGTCGCAACCTTCAAGAGAGCCTGCCCATCCTTGACATATTCAAAGTCTCCACCGGGACCCAAAGAGCCCTTTCTATATCGCTGCATCCAGTGCAAAAGGTACCTCCGGTTTCGGGGTGGTTCGATGCCCAGCTCCTTGAGTTCTGGCGAGGTGAGGGAGAAGAGAGCGTTCCATGAGGGGAACTTGTTGGCGTACTTGTTGAGGCCCCGGCCGATCAGGGTGAGGAAGGTCGGCACATCGGGAACGAATGGTCGGGGCTTGGGAATCGGGTGCGCAGGCCGTGTCTTGTGAAGTAGGCGGATTTGTCCTGTTCTTGAAAAGGCGCTGCCGCTCTGCAGAAGCAGGCCAAATGTTGACCTGAGTCGTTCGCCCTTCATTTTCCTAGAAAATTATGTTAGATGTTATGATTGAGAGTATCAAATTCTTTTCATAAGCTTACGCTGCTCAATGGGTCGAATGACACAAGTTCAGCCGCTACCTCAATCAACGAAGCCTCACAAGCCGAACGTTGATCTCGAAATTTGACGACGGGTCTTCGTTATGTCAGCAAGGCTGTTTCTCTGTGGCGGGTGCTGCCATAGAACTGTGGCGCTGGTCCCTGATAGTTCAATGACGACCCACTCATAACCGACCAGGCTGACATCCCACCTCAAATGCCTACATCCTCCTCCTACCTTCTTCCCTCCTACATACTCGATTTCATGTTGAGTCATCTATAATATTTCGTGGCCTCAAGCTTAGGGCATCTCCATCTACTAGCCATCAGTGGTGAATGATAGTAAACATTTACTATCAACCATGGCCCGCACCAAGGCTCGCACCAGGCATTCTACTGCCGATGCGGTTCACTTACACGTTGG